GGGAAGTGCGAGATCCACACAGACAACGTGACACGCACTGAAGAAGTCAGCGGCTACGACCACAACTGCTACGTGCCACCTCCACCTTGCCCGCCGCCTCCCTCGCCACCGCCGCCCTCGCCGCCGCCGTCGCCGCCCCCGCCCTCACCGCCACCTCCGTCGCCACCGCCTCCCTCACCGCCACCGCCGAGCCCGCCTCCCTCGCCGCCGCCGCCCTCACCACCGCCGCCCTCACCACCGCCCTCGCCGCCGCCCGCGCCGCCGCCGCCAAGGCCGCCGCCCTTCCCGCCTCCGTCGCCGCCGCCCTTCCCGCCGCCGACGCCGCCGCCCTCGCCGCCCTCGCCGCCGCCCTTCCCGCCGCCCTCGCCGCCGCCCTTCCCTCCGCCGCCGGCGCCGCCGCCGCCTCCGTCCGAGCCGCCGGCCGCGCCGCAGCCGCCAGCCTCGCCGTCGCCGCCGCGGCCGCCGCCGTCGTCGCCCGCGCCGCCCGCGTCGCCGCCTCCGCCGCCGCCTCCGCCCGCGCCGCCCGCGCCGCCGCCGGCCGGCCCGCCGCCGCCGCTCTCGCCGCCCGGCCCGACGCCGTCGCCCTTCCCGCCGCCCTTCCCGCCGCCCGCTGCGCCGCCGCCCCTCCCGCCTCGACCGCCGACGCCGCCGGCCTCGCCGTCGCCGCCCGCACCGCCCCCGGGTCCGCCGTCGACGCCGCCGCCGCCTCCGGCCTCGCCGTCGCCGCCGTCGCCGCCGTCGCCGCCCGCGGCACCGCCAGCCGCGCCGCCCGCGCCGCCGCCGCCAAGGCCGCCGCCCTTCCCGCCTCCGTCGCCGCCGCCCTTCCCGCCGCCGACGCCGCCGCCCTCGCCGCCCTCGCCGCCGCCCTTCCCGCCGCCCTCGCCGCCGCCCTTCCCTCCGCCGCCGGCGCCGCCGCCGCCTCCGTCCGAGCCGCCGGCCGCGCCGCAGCCGCCAGCCTCGCCGTCGCCGCCGCGGCCGCCGCCGTCGTCGCCCGCGCCGCCCGCGTCGCCGCCTCCGCCGCCGCCTCCGCCCGCGCCGCCCGCACCGCCGCCGGCCGGCCCGCCGCCGCCGCTCTCGCCGCCCGGCCCGACGCCGCCGCCCTTCCCGCCGCCCTTCCCGCCGCCCGCTGCGCCGCCGCCCCTCCCGCCTCGCCCGCCGTCGCCGCCGGCCTCGCCGTCGCCGCCCGCACCGCCCCCGGGTCCGCCGTCGACGCCGCCGCCGCCTCCGGCCTCGCCGTCGCCGCCGTCGTCGCCGTCGCCGCCCGCAGCACCGCCAGCCGCGCCGCCCGCGCCGCCGCCGCCAAGGCCGCCGCCCTTCCCGCCTCCGTCGCCGCCGCCCTTCCCGCCGCCGACGCCGCCGCCCTCGCCGCCCTCGCCGCCGCCCTTCCCGCCGCCCTCGCCGCCGCCCTTCCCTCCGCCGCCGGCGCCGCCGCCGCCTCCGTCCGATCCGCCGGCCGCGCCGCAGCCGCCAGCCTCGCCGTCGCCGCCGCGGCCGCCGCCGTCGTCGCCCGCGCCGCCCGCGTCGCCGCCTCCGCCGCCTCCTCCACCCGCGCCGCCCGCGCCGCCGCCGGCCGGCTCGCCGCCGCCGCTCTCGCTGTCCGGTCCGACGCCGCTGCCCTTCCCGCCGTCTCTGTCGGCTGACCGTTGCGTCGTCGCCCCTTCCGGTTCGGGCGCCTTCGCCGATGGTCTTGCTGTCTCCGTGCGCAACGTCCCTCGGGTCGCGTTTTTACGGGTGTTCTCGGCTCCGGTGTTTGTCTGTCTACGGCGGCGTCC